GTACTGTATATACATGCCTCCATACAATAAAATTGCATTTTTAATATTACATTACACAGTGGCTGTTATGGAATATTACGTATACATTCTTAAATTGAGAGAACAAACACAAATGCACATGGGGATTGATGTCAATAATGAACCTGAATGATCTCAACACAATGCTTTCAACAGCCTTGACTGGGCAGCCAGCTAGCATACAGAAATGTTTCACTAAACATACAAATAGAACAAATACATTATGACAAGAAGAATATGTCTCACCCTCAAAGATATTAGAGACAATTGTCTTTTATACACGCTGAGTGTACGAAACATTAGGAATACCTTCCTATTATTGAGTTGCACCCCCTTTTTCCCTCAGAACAGCCTCAATTTCTCAGGGCATGGACTCTACAAGGTGTCGAAAGCGTTCCACAGGGATGCTGGCCCATGTTGACTCCACTACTTCCCACAGTTGTGTCAAGTTGTCTGGATGTCCTTTGGGTGGTGGACCATTCTTGATACACATGTGAAAACCCAGCAGCGTTGCAGTTCTTGACACAAACCGGTATGCCTGGCACCTACTACCATACGCCGTTCAAAGGCACTTAAATATTTTGTCTTGCCCATTCACCCTTTGAATGGTACACATACACAATCCATGCCTCAATTGTCTCAAGGCTTAAAAATCCTTCTTTAACCTGTCTCCTCCCCTTCATCTACACTGATTGAAGTGGATTTAACAAGTGACATCAATAAGGGATCATAGCTTTCACTTGGATTCACCTGGTCAGTCTATGTCATGGAAAGGTGTTCCTAATTTTTTGTACTCTACGCGTATGTTGTGATGCAGAGCAGTGCAACCAAAGTCAAAACGTGGGCAAAGTTGGTCCCTTTCAAGGGCCTAGTTACAGTTTTTATATCGCTTTGGTGCAATTTTCACAAGTATGTGGTACATTTTCACAACTCTTAGTACAAAACTAAAAACAGATCATAAAAAAGGCAGTTGTTTCAAAAGTCTAAGCACATTTTCAATTGACTAAGTGTTTCATCTAGAAAAACATGTTTCACATTGCAATACATGTTCATATAAAGTCATTACTTTTGATATGATTCTCTTCTCTTTTGTTAAGAGACATTTACTATTACTTAATCCGACTGCTTTTAATTGATGATCACTTAAATGTTTGGTAAACCTATAGATTTTACATGTAAATTGGTTTGTCTACTACAGATTTTGAGAACTACATAATGAAAATGTATGTTTGTAAAGTAGACACATAAAAGGTATGATATATATATATATATACTCTAACTACTTTTATGATTTTACTTCACAGTACACTTTTTAAAAATCTGATATTGACAAGATCAGAGATGTACTGTATGTAACAAATCAACGTTTATTGGGGCTTTATTAAAATTGCATTGGCCAGTACAGTACTGTAATACCATAATATTTGCCATTTACGTAGCAGACACTTTTATCCAAAGTGAAAACAGTGCACACATTTTGGTATGTGACCCCAGTCGGAATCGAACCCACAACTCTAGTGTTGCTTGGTAGCAGCAAGTAGCCTGGCGGTTAAAAGAGTGTTGGGCCTGTAACCGAAAGGTAGCTGGTTCTAATCCCAGAGCCGGCAAAGTGAAAAAATCTGCCATTCTGCCCTTGAGCAAGGCAGTTAAACAACAACTGCTCGCTGATGTCAATTAAGGCAGCCCCCTGCACCTCTCTGATTCAGAGGGGTTGGGTTAAATGCGGAAGACACATTTCAGTTGAATGCATTCAGTTGTGCATCCCCTTTTCCTAGTCCCATGCTCTTATGAACTGAGCCATGTACAGGACAAATAAAACATACGATTACAATACAGTTGGAAGATGTATGATTGCTATCTCCATGAGGGTAACACCCTCCTTCAGGCTTGGATTCGCCATGCCAAAAGCTTTTTCCCCAGTTGCACGAACAATGAGGATATTTACTGTAAACCTGTGCCTGTTAAACATTGTTTCTTTCAATTCTTTAATTTAATTACATTGTGAAATATGTCTTCAATGGTCACACCTGTCACGATCGTTTAAAGATTGGTCGAACCAAGCCGCAGCGTGATAAGCGTACATGTTTATTATAACTGTGCAAACACGACAAAACAACAAACAAACGATACGTGAAGTCTTAAGGTTACACACAACAAACCTATACGGAACAAGATCCCACAACCCACTAGTGCCAACAGGCTACCTAAGTATGGTCCCCAATCAGAGACAACGAGCTACAGCTGCCTCTGATTGGGAACCACCCTGGCCAACATAGATCTAAACGATCTAGAAACTAAACATAGAAAACACAACATAGAAACTACACACCCTAGCTCAACATTTAAGAGTCCCCAGAGCCAGGGCGTGACAGTACCCCCCCCCCAAAGGTGCGGACTCCGACCGCGCAACCTAAACATAACAGGGTAGGGGCCGGGTGGGCATTCCGTCTCGGAGGCGGAACCGGCTCCGGGCGTGACCACCACCTATTATCCGCCTCCCTGTTGCGCCCCTGGTCTGGTCTGGACCTCGGCGCGCTGCTTCCCCTCTCCTTCCTCCCACAAAGTACCAAGCCCTGTCTGGACCCTGGTGTGGGAGACCCCGAACCTAGAGAGGGGCTGACGTCTGGGTCTGGACTGGAACCGCTGACTGGAGCTGGACCCGACGACGGTGGAGCGAACTGCTCTGACTCCGGCGTGGAGCCGCTGACCGGAGCTGGATCAGGCACCGGTGGAGCGGACTGCTCTAGCTCCGGAGTGGAGCAGCTGACCGATGCCGGACCAGGCACCAGTGGAACAGGCACGGGCCGTGCCGGACTGGACCCACGCACCACTGGCTTGATGCGAGGAGCAGGAACAGGCCGGACCAGGCTGGCGACGCGCACCACTGGTTTGGTGCGAGGGACAGGAACAGGCCGGACCGGCTGGAGACGCACACCACTGTCTTGGTGCGAGGGACAGGAACAGGCCGGACCGGGCTGGAGACGCGCACCACTGGCTTGGTGCGGGGAGCAGGAACGGGCCGGGCCGGACTAGGAACACGCCCCACTGGCTTGGTGCGGGGAGCAGGAACGGGCCGGGCTGGACTGGGAACACGCACCACTGGCTTGGTGCGGGGAGCAGGAACAGGCCGGGCCGGACTGGGAACACGCACCACTGGCTTGGTGCGGGGAGCAGGAACGGGCCATACCGGACTGTGGAGGCGGACTGGAGGTCTGGAGCGGAGAGCTGACACAACCCGTCCTGGCTGGATGCCTACTTCCACACAATATGTGTGAGGCATTAGCACAGGACGTACGGGGCTGTGCACGCATACTGGCGATACAGTACGTAGCACCGGCGCAGGATATACGGGACCGAGGAGGCGTACTGGAGACCACGAGCGTTGAGCCGGCACACCCCGTCCTGGCTGAATGCCCATCTTCGCACGACACGTGCGTGGTGCTAGCACAGGACATACAGGACTGTGCCGGAACACTCGCGGCAGAGTACGTAGCTCCGCATAACACGGAGCCTGCCCAGTCATACGCTTCCTTGCATGAGTACGGGAAGTTGGCTCTGCTCTAACACTAGGCTCCGCCAACCACCCTTTTAGCCCCCCCAAAAAAAATTATTGGGGCTGTCTCTCGGGCTTCCTCCTCGGCCGGCACCTTCTGCGTTGCCGCCGCTGCTCCTCTCTATAGCGCGCCTCCACTGTCTCCTCCCAAGGACGGCGATCCATTCCGGCCTGAATCTCCTCCCAAGTCCAGGATCCCTTCCCGTCGAGGATCTCCTCCCAGGTCCAGGCTGTCTGCTCCTGGACACGCTGCTTGGTCCTCATTTGGTGGGATCTTCTGTCACGATCGTTTAAAGATTGGTCGAACCAAGGCGCAGCGTGATAAGCGTACATGTTTATTATAACTGTGCAAACGCGACAAAACAACAAACAAACGATACGTGAAGTCTTAAGGTTACACACAACAAACCTATACGGAACAAGATCCCACAACCCACTAGTGCCAACAGGCTACCTAAGTATGGTCCCCAATCAGAGACAACGAGCTACAGCTGCCTCTGATTGGGAACCACACTGGCCAACATAGATCTAAACGATCTAGAAACTAAACATAGAAAACACAACATAGAAACTACACACCCTGGCTCAACATTTAAGAGTCCCCAGAGCCAGGGAGTGACAACACCTTTGATCACACATGGGATAATAGAAATTATGAAAATTTTGATGTTCAGTCAATTTTAATGGGTAGTGCAAGTGTTTTGCCTAATGTGAAAAAAGTGTAATGTACTGTAATTTACAGTACTGTAGCATACTACATTCAAAAGGCAATTTTGAAACATGTATCTTACATGTTTTGCAAGTGGATTAACTGGTTTTTAAAATAATTAAATTGAGAAGATATTATTATGTTGTGTTTTGGTGATTAAACCAATGTACTCATTATATTTCACAGTAAACCTATATTGTGGATCAATGGTTGTGGGGTAAAAGATGCCTACAAACAAAATAAATGGACAATGAAAGGGTTTGAATGTAAGACTGGCTGTGTTACAAGTGTTACCAGTTTTGAGTTTTGTACTAAGAGTTTAGAAATTCACCACATAATTGTGAAAATAGTACCAAAACGATTTTAAAAATAAAAGTAGTATGTGCCAGAGCTGCATATGTTATTCTGAAAAGATTTTGTGCAGTAGCAGAGGCCTTCAGTGTTCTATCTAAAAGTGTCCTTTAATAATACAAATAACTATTTAGGATGACATTTGGAGGACATGGAACTACAAGAAATCAGACTCTTAGTAATAAATACTTATGTACACATTGACCATTGACCCTTTGGTGTGATGCGTAAATCTTACATCCAGACTGCTACAGTAGTTAGGATTCTGTCCATATTTCAGCATCCAGCATAAAATACCCACATAAGTATAAGTACAGACTATCAAACGGCATTGTCCAGGCTTATGACTGGTGCTCCGCACTGCCATTACATCATTGTCTCAGGTGTTGCCCTGATTGCGCCATGCTCCACCTTTCCATTCCCACTCTGTCCATTGGCATGCACTGGCTCCCCGGCCAGGGGGGAGACCAGGTTGACTCTACTGGTTCTGCTGGTGCTCTGGCAGACAGCCCCAGGAAGGGCCCTCATCTGGCTGGTGAAGGGGCTCCCAGGCAGAGACGGGCAGGGGGACAGGGAGCCACGGCCCCACCCTGACTCCAGGCGAGAGCCTGATCCTTTGCTGACACAGCGAGGGCTGGGGTTGACAGAGGACAGGGTCTGCTGGCTCCCGTTCAAGTAGGAGTTGTTGGTGGAGCCCAGGTGGGAGGAGCGGTGGTTGTAGTAGACCCTCCAGCCCTTCTGCTTTTTCTTCTGATGGCAGCGGCACTTGAGGATGCGGATGAAGGCCTGTTTGAACTCTCGGCTGTAGTAGGGGTAGATGATGGGATTCAGGCAGCTGTTGAAGTAGCCCAGCCAGAAGATCACCTTAAAGAACGTTTCTGGGGGACGCAGGTTGGCATTGAACGACCCTGGGACATTACATAGAGAAAACATGTTATACATTTACAGACATTTCAAAAAACGATGTTATTATATATATTTTATATCTGTTATATATTTTAACTTAACATTTTAGATATAAGATGTGGTGGTAGATATACTGTATCTGAGAAAACAATGTAAACGCTGAACCATCTCTTTAATCCATTATGTTTGGTGATCAATAGATGGCAGCATTCATCAAAAGAACCTCACAGATAGTCAATGTACCGGTAACTACTGTATCACTGACATCCTCCTCTCGCTCGAGACCACGGATCTGGAAAGACGGGAAAGGTGAAATATAGGCTTGGTGGTGTTTCAATCGCTAAGCTTTCACCTTCCCAGACCTTTCAGATCAATAATCAGTGACGAAGCAGATGAGAACTTTTAAAGAGTGCAGGCGGGGGCTTCACTCAACTCTTTACTACACTCTTCTGTGTCTGTCTGATGGTTTTATGGAAGCGTCATACACTAATTTTCAATTGTACTTCTGAAAAACATACATTCATTCAAGTATAGAGGGCACAATCTATAGTGTTTGATACTCCTGTGCCTCTGGTGTGTAATGACACGGGAGTATCATACACTATAGTTATATAGAGATTGGTGGGTCTCCAATTATTACAATGATTACACAGTGATTCCAAGTATTACCATTTTGATGCTGATTCTACTGTCTTGACTGTTTCCTGTTTTGGAATGTTTTAGAGAAAGATAGCATGACTCACTGACAGCACACATCATTACTGTACTATACTCTCCTTAAAGGCCCAATTCAGCTGTTTTTATATCAATATCAAATAATTTCTGGGTCACAATTAAGTACCTTACTGTAATAGATTTTAATTAAAATGGGCAAAAATAGCTTTTTAGCAAAAAACTATTTCTCCAGCAATAATTTCTCTAGGACTGTCTGGGAGTGGCCTGAGAGGGGGAAACTGAAAACGAACTATTATTGGCAGACAGGTTTAGAACTCTTTATTATTGGTCTATTAACCAATTTACCACATGGTGATGTCATCATGGAAAGACGAAATTCCCGCCCATGCAAATCTGCTGATTAGAAAGTCCTGTGTAGATTGTATTTTCAACCAGCAATTATCAGGAAATAACACTAATAAAATGTTTTCACACTTTTACAGTGTTAGTTTCATCAGCTGGAAAAACTGCATTTTGAATGCACTGGGCCTTTAATCACTGAGGTCAACCCTACCGACATTGCATGCGCTTCCACTGATTCTGAATAAGTTACTAAGCTTCTAATACTAATGAAAAAAAGTTAAAGGCAGGATTTACAAGCAGCCTCATCCAATAAAGAAATCATTACAGTGAGCTATACCACAACTGTGCCGACATGAGACAGTATCAATTTCAAAGAAGCATTTTCTCAAGTTTAATCTTTGCTGTCTCCAGCTCATAAACAAAGGTCACAGACATCCGTCATCATTCCAAATTCTTCCCCATTTTACAGGCACACTAATCCCAGAGGCCTTCACTGCTGGGAGTCTCTTTAACAACCCCGTGCTGCACATCACATCGCCTTTTTTGGCCTTTTTGGACTCAGCATTGTGGGTACTCATCCACTTTGGTATGTCCTGCCACAGAAGCCCTGGCTGTCACGTTATTGGATGAAAACCTGAAAAGAAAGATGTTGCATTCCATCCTATTTCTCTCTTTAGGCTTTGGGATGTAGAGAGGTTTAAGAAGAGTTATTACAGTGTTTCCTCAGAATAGAGCCATGGCTCATAGAACCATCTAATTCAAGGACACATTTCTCATTTCCCAGCCTGTCCGTAGGAGAGACTGTGTTTACACTTTAATAATGTGCTACTGGCTGGCTTTATTCTCCAGCGCAAAGTGCCTTCATAGCTGGAGCCTCCACAAGGCTATTCCACAAACTGTAACCTCCTCATCCCCTAACCTCCCTAGTCACCGGAAGCCAGGAACCCACTTTACTCTGATAGTGCTTACATGCAAAGATTTAGGATGCTTCTTCATGCCGTGCAACTGTGGAATCCAGGCTAACAAATCACAGTGCACTCTGTCCAACTTCTCTCTCAATTCCACTTGCAAAGTCCATCTCCTAGTGATTAATTTACTCGTACTAATTAACCACTTAATCTACTCGCCATGTCTTTCTCACACCCAGACAACATTGACTGCCCGTCGTGTCTACAAAATGACTGAGTCCTGCTTGACGGCTGCTGAATTCTGACAAACTAATGAGCCAAACACAGAAAGGTAGTCAATGTTGCTCTAGAGAAGAGGTAGCAAACAACAAAGTAAAGACTGATGCAATACATTTGACTATGAATGGGGGACAGTCAAATGTACAGTAGGCTTACAGTATGCAGTGCCCTGTGAGGCTGCTGGCTTTCAACACATCTCCTGGTTACGTCCTGAGTGCTGCTAAAGAACAGCATGCTAGAGGGAGGGGGAGGAGAACTCAGGAAAATGCAGCAAACACCTCCATCTATCATTGTTTCTGGACACATTTCACAATCAATCGCCATACATAGAAATAATCTCAAATGGAATCTCTCAGTCCATGCCCTCTTCTACCAATGTGGAGGTCCTTAGAGGAACTTTATGCCCCGGGCATTGATTGAGTAACATGGCATGAGAAAACAACAGTAATGTGGGCGCATTAAGTTCTCAGAGGTCCAGACAGACTGGGAATATTTTTACTTTTATCACTGGTGCTGTCAAATTACTATTTTTACTACGCATGTTAGCTACATAACTGGTATTTCCATTTTAGGACAGAAGCATTGACTACAGATTCAGCAAGGAGCAGTTAATGTGTATATGGAGGGATTTATCTATTTTCTGGTTTGGGCATGTTTGCTAACACATACCTGATTATGATAGTGTAGGCAAGGAATCTACAAAAGACCCTGAGATCTACCTGGGAACGTAATGCCCTTGGACAGCTCCATACACACATGAATGGACAAAAGCATGGAATATATCATGTCTAAAGCCATTTTTAAAGAGGGCTTAAGAGGTATGATAGTCAGTGGGACTTACTGTATGAGCACCCTGGCATTCCCACTGCAATCCTGCCCCCTGCCTTCTAGAAGCATCAGGAACCCATCACCATCATATCACGCTCAAGGTCCAGCTCACTGGAGAATTTGGGTTGATAAATGAACTAATCTCAAACATTCTGGGAAACATCTATTAAATATGGTGGGAATGCAATATTACTGTCCACATGCATTTAACTGTAACCTTGGTAAAATAGTTAATATTGGTTACATAACATGGAAAGCAACAATCATTGGAGGGTCAAGATCTTTACCAGGTAATGTTTTGGTTCATCTGGTGAGTTCTGAGACTAAAAAAGCTAAAGCCCTCAACCGCTATACTGATCACCACCATCAGTGTTCGATTGAACAAATGCTGTTTCCTGTTTGTCCCATAAAATCTATCCTTCTATTGTTCACCACCTCCGCCAGAGGACAAGCCGTAAAATACAGACACAATAGACCACAGAGCACTATAGTTTGTCGGGTGACAAAAACAAAACATGCCTTTGGCGGGTCAAGGCAGAGAGTTTGAGAATTGCACAATTTACATTAGCAGTGAAAAGTGGCACTATCGTCAAACACAATCTGCAAAAGCTCTCACAAAGATGATTTAAAATCCTGGCAGTTGCAATAGCAACAAGTCTGTCGAATGTGGGCATCTATGAACACCAAGAATTCTTCACCCAGCTATTTTCTTATCCAATTCGTCTAAGAGAGTGCTTTGTAAGGACTCCCATTCATTTCTAATGAAAACACCATTTATATGCCAATTATTACTGTTTATATCTAGGGCTTTATTGCATAACTGGGATAATTACTGCCCCCATTCTCCATTCTTTAATTATAAAAATAACAGGTGATGTAACAAATTATGTCGTTTTAATATAATGTAGATAATATCACTGATATACTGGCAGTCTCAAAGCATTTTGAGGGCAGAGATAGCAAAGACAGGGCTATTCAGGGCTTATTGTTGCTTCCAGGACTCATAACAAATATATCAGACATCCTATTCCAAAAACCGTAGGAGGAAATTACAACCAATGTCAGGACCGCTGTAATCCTTCAAACCAATTACATTTGTATTATCTTTAATAGAAGTCCCCGAGTGTCTGGATGAGGGTCCAACAGGGTGCCGTATGGTACACACAGACGTCTGCAGCAGTCACTCTACACACTCTACGCGCACTCTGCACACTCACTCACACTGACACTCCAAAACAAACAGGCTCACACAGGGCGGCAGGTAGCTTAGTGGTTAAGAGCGTTGTGCCAGTAACCGAAAGGTCGCTGGTGAAAAATCTGTCGATGTGCCCTTGAGCAAGGCACTTAACCCTAATTGCTCCTGTAAGTCGCTCTGGCTAAGAGCGTCTGCTAAATGACTTAAAGGTTAGTTTGCTCACACATAACACACACATTCATACTGACTCTACACACTCACATACAATCATCATATACGCTGCTGCTACTCAGTTTATCAAATATCCTGATGCCTATAGTGACCTTAGCCCTATACATATCTACCACTCCAGTAGACTGCATATTGTAAATATGGTATTGGCACTGACCCTGGAACTGACCCTGTATATAGCTTACTAACTTTCTCGTGTTCTTATTTCTATTTCTCGTGTGTTTTTGTTCTACTTGACTATTTGTATTGATTTTTTATAGTACTACTGATATTGATTACCGCAATGAGCAAGCAAGAAAGGCATTTCACTGTACTGTGCACGTGACAATAAAAACGTGAAACTTGAACTTGACTAACAAGGCTTCTACCCAAAGCACTGTCTGATTGTGCACCATCAATTACTCTGTGTGATCTTCACTAACCGTCATCCTTCTCCTCTACACAGTGCCTCCATGGTGTGGCCAGGCTAGGTCACCGCTCTGCTCAGTGTGTATATGTCTCCATCTCTGTCATCCACACAGACAGTTTCTATCACACCCTGAGGAGGCCTCAGGAACCAATAGAGAGCCACAATTGGACATTATCACTCTGGGTAATTTGAGCAAAGCAAAATAACCTGATTATCACCACAAAACTGACCATTTCTGTTATCTCACGCACGGTCATGACTGAAAAAATATCAGCCTTGAAAAAATAATTCAGGATTTATTTATGTGATGGACACACTGGTTTAGTAAAAGCACAGAATAATTAGTATACCGATAATCAATCATTGAAAATATAGTAGCTCCTGTATTTATATACTCTCCTAGTGGTATAGGCCTATTGACTTTTTGCTTTACAGAATTGAAATTAAAAATGTCCAGTTAACTGTGTGAAGACCATATGGAGAGAATTAAGATTATGGGCCTGAGATTTGGAAATGAGACTTTCAAAGAGCATGAGCATGCTACGGTATACATTTCTAAATGGATACGGTATTCAGGGTTGGCATAATTCTGTAAATATAGAGGGCGGGGGATGGTAAGGACATGGGCGGCAGGTAGCTTAGTGGTTAAGAGCGGTGTGCCAATAACCGAAAGGTCGCTGGTTCTAATCCCCGAGCCGACTAGGTGAAAAATCTGTCGATGTGCCCTTGAGCAAGGCACTTAACCCTAATCGCTCCTGTAAGTCGCTCTGGATAAGAGTGTCTGCTAAATGACAATAAAAAAAATAAAAAAAAAAATGTATAAAAGTCTGTTTCATCTCTCTGAACTTTGCCATGTCAACAACAGATGTAGGAGGAATCCACTGTGATGTGTAATGTGTTGCTCGCTTGATTTAAGAGGTGCTGGGAACATGGGAAGCTCAAGAGAGAGGCTTGCCGGTGCTAAAACACCCACAATAAATAATGTATTAATACACCAGATTGCAAGCACCCTTATGCTATGACCTAGCTACCCCAATTATGGTGCCACTGGCTGGGAAGTATGGTATTTTTCAATCATAACATTTTTGGCAAGTTAATGAATGGAAAAGTTAATATTTTGATACTAAAAGGAAGTTGTATTTGACTGTCATGCCCCACGTTCACGTTTTGGCAAGGGTGTAGACCTACTGCGTCTGATTAAACCCTTTTCTGCCTAACCAAATAATTTCATTTTTGACACGACTACCATCAGACTTATGAAAACTCTACATTATTGGCATACTGTACGTGGAAAACATATGATCTGTGTGTGTGTGTCAGAGAGAGAGAGAGGGAAAGAGAGAGACTGTGTGTGTGTATATGCCTGTGTGCTTGTGTGAGAGTGATAAGCATGTGTGTTGGAGGTCACTAGCAGAGAATATCATGTACAGATAGATGCTGTCCTTTCATGTCACACACACAGGGCCATGCACAGACCTTTCAGGGGGCAGGTGCTCAAAATGAAAAAAGGGCACCCTGCTTGATTTTTTGTTTTACTTTCATACATCATAACTCGAAATTCATAACATACCAAATCCCTGTAACGATAAAAAAAATAAAAAAAAACATTCTCTCATCATCGCAAATTGTAAGCAACCTAGTTACAGTGCATCCTAAAGACATGATTGACATCGGTAAAAGAGGGTGGGCTATCAGCTGACTGATGTTGATCTGCTAGCTAGCTTCTTTTACTGATTGAGATTTGGCCTACCTCTGTCTTTTTGCCTCTCTCGGCTGCGCATATCAGCCAACCAGACCGAATGATGTAGGCTAAATGAAGTGTTATCAAGTATTAATCAAATATAATGCTGTTGTGGCAGTACTGCTGATATTTATACGAGGCAGCTAGCTGCACACACTCGGACAGTGACCGCATCTCTCAAGCTGCATGTTTGGATACCGGGCGTGCGCAATCCCCGTACAGGGCAGACTGGGACAAAGGCCAGGGCCCGGTTTCCCGAATCCCGTTAGCGATGGAATTCAGGCTTACGAGTGTTTTAATGATGCATCCTAAAAATAACGGCCGAAGATGTCACACCCGTTTCCCAAAACACCACGTAGTGCACTTGTTACAATCTGAAACTGAACGGTCTATACAGGAGCTGTCCCGTGCTGAAAATGATTCCAGTATATAGGCCAAAGAGCACACTGTAGCTCTTACATGATTTATGGCTCTTCAAAGCAATCTTTTTTTATCCATATTTTTTTTTTTTTACACAATACAGTTTTCGAATTAAGAGAAGAAATGTTCTGTAGCCTATTATGTATTGAAGTGTTTGCATTATGTTTGCCATGTGTTATGTACTCTAAGTGTTTTCTTGTGCTATTTTGTATGCAATGTTGGTTTATGTAAATTCTACATATCTTCAGTTTGTGTAAACTGTAAAAGTCACTAATTCCCTCATTTGCTATAAAAATATCAATGTGACCTAAAAACAGGATATGATGACAATGGTTTTCGCAAATTTTGCTCAACAAATCATTGTAGTCTAACGTCAGGCAGGAATTGAGCTTAAAGTAGGCCTAGGCTACAGATATTCTACAATTAAATACTTAAACAATTAAAATAATTAAAATAATTAAACATGAAGTAGCAAGCTAAGCAATATACATAATATGTTGACCTTTAGGTTATTGGTTAGGCTACAGTGAAATGCGTAGCTTTTAGATAATAGTAGCCTATAGGCCTAATAGATAAGAACATTGTAGCGCCTCAGATGTAGCCTAGTGGTTTAACTAGGTAGGTCTATCGATTGCACATAGGCCTACATGAAAGTGATGTCAATATTTAGCTTCATAATCTAACTTTATATAATTCAGTTATCTTGCTTTTAATTTAAAAAAAATATGGCCTTGCTTCGCTTGTTTATAACATAGCGAACTTTTTAGGCTATTTATATTCAACGATGAAGTTTTTCCACAGAGAGACAGATAAACATCTTCATTCTATGTTTAGCTGACATTGTCTGTGTGTAAAGTTACGCGGAAGGACAACAACGATCAACAGGCACAACCAACAGATAGGGTTGGGGGGTGGCGAAGTTGATTACTTGCAGGAAGTGGGTTCCGAACAACAATGACAACGAATGTATACAAAAAACATATTTTGGGGGGAAATTATACCACCACCCAAAAGGGCACTTTGGAGACCGGAAGGGCAAAGGGGCATGTGCTCTGCACAGGTAGAGCCCTTCTGTGCTCGTGCCTGGTGACCACACTCATTTTCAAGGTTTATTTGTAAAACAGAATGAATGCATTCAGTGTCCTATCTATCTAACAGTTATGTGGTTAAATTTAACCTAATGCAACTAGGGGGGGAATGGTGACAACAGTTTGCTCAACAAAACTCCAAACCTACCGATGGGCAGCACGAGGAAGAATGGCAGCCAGCAGAGAATAAACATGCCCACCACGACACCGAGAGTTTTGGCAGCTTTCTTCTCTCGGGAGAACTTGAACAGTTTGACGGTCAGAGTGCTCCGTGTCTGGCCCTTGCCTGCGCCGCAGTATTCCTGCAGCTGTGCGTTTTTGCAGTGGATCCTGAGCGTGAGCTCATTCGAGTCCATGTGCTCTTTCATGACCCCCGCCTCCAAGTTCTTAGTGGTTCGTTTGGCAACTACATAAACCTGACAGTACATGCACAGGATGACAGCTAGAGGTATGTAAAATGAACCCAATGACGAGAACAGTGCGTAAAAGGGCTCTTCGGTGATGGGGCAAATTGGTGTCGTCATTTGAGGGTGGTTGTTTCCACCCGAGCAGAGGTCCGATGGAGATGACGGTAGCGAGAACCCAAACACCGAGCATGGCCAAAAGGGCTCTTTTCTCCGTTACTATACAGGGGTACTGCAGTGGGTAGCGCACGCCTATATAACGGTCTATGGATATTACGCACAGGCTCATAATGGAAGCAGTGCAACATAGCACGTCCACTGCTGCCCAGATGTCACAGAATATCCTCCCGAATACCCAGTAGTCAAGAATCTCCAATGTTGCGGACACGGGCAGCACTGTGGTACCCAGCAACAGGTCCGCAATGGCTAGGTTGATAATGAAATAGTTTGTTGGGATGCGCAGGTGTCTGTTGCACACAACGGAAAGTATTACGAGTATATTGCCCACGATTGCGAACAGAATGAACGCGCCCAGAACTATACCAACGGGCACGGCTCGGGTAAGGTCCAGCGGACTCGTGTCTGTGTCATTCACTGTGGTAAAGTTGGATTTTTTTGCAGATAACGGTGCCTGTGTCTCCGAGTACAGCTCCGAGGAACGGTTACTCCAGAAGTTGGCTTCATCAGCAGTATCAAAATTCATGTTGACGACCCAGTTCCTCCATACCTGATATGTGTAAATCTATGGATAAACACAAACATTGTTTATTTTGTTACATCACCTGTGAACTTCATTTTCAATGGCTTTCAAACTGAAACAATTACTAAGAATGAGCGCAAAACTGCGAGGAAAAGCGCAATGACCTTTTATGGCGTGGTTCCATACTCACTCCGTTCCCTCCCCACTGCAGCGCTCCCACCGTGGTGATACAAACTGTTGAAACACAGCGACACCACTGAATGACCCTTCCAGCATCCATGCGCACAAGATACAACCTTTCCTCCCCTTTCTGGACTGACCGAAACATTTTGGCACAAGACGTCATCCGACATGCCCATGCAATTGTTTCCAGGATTGACCAACGCGGCAACCCTAAAACTGATAAGCACTGGGCTATATCGACAGGTAATTTAAGTCACAGGCATATAGCACGTGCCATCAACCCTCCCCAATTATCATAGGATCTAGGCTATATTTAGAGCCCTAAGCAATATACTGTCTGTCAAGACCAGCGCGCCAACAACAATAACTTGTTGCATTGCTAGTAAGGACTACAAATCAAAGCAATAACCTGTACTGGTAATTACACATATAGTCGTTGTCTTATAAGTAGACTGCAATCTACACAAACTCATGGGCAATTTATTGTGAATATATAATTTAGGCAACACTTTTGATATCTTTAAAGGGGACCATTACGTGCAGTCTACTACCGAATTTACAATGTGTGTTTTATTATTAGCACTTAGCACAACGAGTAAACATTCTTAGGTAGTAGGCTATTACAAATTAACTGCGTGAGGGAAGGGGCAGGCAGTCACGTGGATCCCGTCCCAGCCACTCCGGAGCCCAGCATTAAAGGATGGCAGTGTGGCCAAATATTCCAACAAATCATCCGCAATCGCATAAGGTAACTCAAACCAACTAGCGAATGCTATTGAAAGCAAAGAGACACGTTGAAAATGTGTAAGTTAATTCTAAATAAAAGTGTTTTGTGCAGACAAAACATAAAGTAACAACATTTAAAATGTTCTCTTAATTTATGACTAATGCATGGCTAATTCACAGTAGGCTCACACACTCACACACACATACACACATGGCCTGCTCTAGCCTTTTAGGGGCACTAAGGGAGATTTGGTTGGGCCCCTGCTTGAGAAATTGCTCTTTGCTAAGAAGCTATTTTTGTTTAATTTGACCAATTTTAATTGAAAACAATCACAGTGAGGTACTTAATTGTTACACAGAAAATATTTGATATTGAGATAGAAAACGGCTGTATTGGACATTTAAAGCAAGTATTCTGCAATTCTACACATTTTGCCATGGGATGGAGAGAAAGTGTAGCAATTTTATAACACATTTCATGCAATTCTACTCATTTTGTCATGGGGATGAGATACATTTTTGCAGTTTTAAAGCACATTTCCTGCAATTATACACATTTTGTAATGCCATGTTATAATATCTGAGTGAGAATGACTAACAAAATCAATGGGAGCCCCCTGGAGGTCAGGGCCCTTTTGCACTTTAGCTGACATGGCTGAATATGTGGCTGTCAGTGACTGACACAACAAGAGAAAAATTGCTGATGCACAACCAAATTTAGAAATTGCACCTGGTGTATTCTACTATTCTTACCCTCAATAGTAAGTTGAGACGGCGACTTAGTTTTTTTTTTTTTTTTTTTTTCATCGGGGGCCTGCTAGCGACCCCGGCCCTAAGTGACTGCTTATGTCGATTATGCTTGGAACCATCCCCGCACACGCACAGTCTCCCTTGGCAGGCCAAATATTATATAAAAAAAACGCTTTGGTGCTATTTCCAGAAGTACATGGTGAATTTTAAAAACCTACAAAACTCTAAACTGATTAGACTTGTAATGCCCCGTAGCTTATGTTCAGAAGCTTTGATTGTGCATTCATTATGCCTGAGTCATTCATGCAAAAGTTTTCCATGAAATACCATGAGAACATTTAGTTTAGTCACCAATGCATCAGATAATGATAGGCTCAACATTATTTTCATTTTAACTACCATGTAATCCAATAGCAAAAAATACAAGCTACACATTTCTAAACTGTTATTTTTTAAGTGCAGTAGATGGTAAACATCATTTTACATACAGTATTTGACTACAACTTGACATGCAATTTTTAAAACATATTTTGTATCCAATGGCAGTTTGTGAACAGAGCATGTTGAGAAATATGTCAGTCTTACAGTTTCATTATCCTTAAACAGGACATATGTAGGACAAAATCATTAGAAATAGAGGTAGCCTATTGTTAAGCAGTTGGCTATTTAAAAAACGTAACACGGTGTTGTATGCCATTTCTGCCCCATGCAGCATTGTACAAGATCACCTTTTCTACATGACTTGTCAACTGATTTTGGTTCAGTAGTTATCAGTTTTGAGCAGTTTGATTATGTAGTAGTTCATCATGTTGTTAACAAATGACAAGAAAATCATATCAAAAATAGTGAATATTGCATTTTGAAAAGCAGATACTTAGATTGAATATGTATCCACATTGAAAGAGTGTTTCGGTGCGGTGAACAAGTGACTTTGTTTGCTGTACTCAGTCAATTGAAAATGTGTTTAGAGTTTTGAAAATGTACCACACACTGTACTTGTGAAAATTGTACAAAGGTGATTAAAAACAACTGTATCTGCCAAATCTTTGTTGTTTTCAGAAAACACCTGGGAATGCTCCTCACATAGTAGGAAAATAAATTACAATAGATTTGATTACAAAGTAACCATATCTGAAATGTTATTCACAGTGTGTGCAGGCCTACTGTAGTCTAGGCTTTCGATTGCAGTCTAGGCATTTTGCTTTATTCTTAGATGGCACTGCCAAACTTTCTAAGATCGATTGAATACGGCAGCCTCTGCACTAGGGCCTCAGAGCAGAGAAAGTTATGGATGGTGTGTGGGTGGGAGTCTGATACATTGACACGAGAGATCAGTGCTGACCACAGTAGAAAACCAAACCAAGGCAACAGGTAACATAAAGAGGCATGATGGATATAAATATTAAACACACTATACCTCATCTCATCATATAACTCTTGATCTGTAGCCAGGATAAGTAACACATAGATGAACACCTAAAAGTGAATTAAAGTGGTTCTGTTTTCGCCCTGAACTACCTCAGGTTGATGAATGGGCGAGGGTGACTTATCAAATCAAATCAAATCAAATCAAATTTTATTGGTCACATGCGCCGAATACAACAGGTGCAGACATTACAGTGAAATGCTTACTTACAGCCCTTAACCAACAGTGCATTTATTTTAAACAAAATAAGTAAGAATAAAACAACAACAAAAAAAGTGTTGAGAAAAAAAAGAGCAGAAGTAAAACAAAGTGACAGTAGGGAGGCTATATATACAGGGGGGTACCGTTGCAGAGTCAATGTGCGGGGGCACCGGCTAGTTGAGGTAGTTGAGGTAATATGTACATGTGGGTAGAGTTAAAGTGACTATGCATAAATACTTAACAGAGTAGCAGCAGCGTAAAAAGGATGGGGTGGGGGGGGCAGTGCAAATAGTCCGGGTAGCCATGATTAGCTGTTCAGGAGTCTTATGGCTTGGGGGTAGAAGCTGTTGAGAAGTCTTTTGGACCTAGACTTGGCACTCCGGTACCGCTTGCCGTGCGGTAGCAGAGAGAACAGTCTATGACTAGGGTAGCTGGAGTCTTTGACAATTTTGAGGGCCTTCCTCTGACACCGCCTGGTATAGAGGTCCTGGATGGCAGGAAGCTTTGCCCCAGTGATGTACTGGGCCGTACGCACTACCCTCTGTAGTGCCTTGCGGTCGGAGGCCAAGCAGTTGCCATACCAGGCGGTGATGCAACCAGTCAGGATGCTCTCGATGGTGCAGCTGTATAATTTTTTGAGGATCTGAGGATCCATGCCAAATCTTTTTAGTCTCCTGAGGGGGAATAGGCTTTGTCGTGCCCTCTTCACGACTGTCTTGGTGTGTTTGGACCATGATAGTTCGTTGGTGATGTGGACACCAAGGAACTTGAAGCTCTCAACCTGTTCCACTACAGCCCCGTCGATGAGAATGGGGGCGTGCTCAGTCCTCTTTTTTTTCCTGTAGTCCACAATCATCTCCTTTGTCTTGGTCACGTTGAGGGAGAGGTTGTTGTCCTGGCACCACACGGCCAGATCTCTGACCTCCGTGTGGTGACTTAAGGGGATATACAAAGTCAGCAGTGGGATTCCATGACACAATTCTCACACAGAACTGAGAACTACAAAGAGGTTTGGAAACACACAGCTGTACATAGCTGTTCATTTTATAATCCTCCATAATCTGCTGTACACATTAGACTCAAACAGTTTCCGATTCTGATGTCCTTAAATGTTAATTTTCTGTTTGAATTTAGGATCAATCTAACGGTACAAAGTCCATGGGACCTGTTTACTTTTTGCTCACTTTATTTATTGTACCATGTCCTAAATCACCCAGACGTTTCAGCTCTGTTGTTGGATCGGATCCTTTTAACGGCTTTTAAATGATTGTGTTGTGTTTATCCGGAAGTATTAGAGAGAGATACTCCAAAATAGTAAATATGCCCACCCCCTCTTATTAGATTTCTTTATGAGCAGAAAATACAGTGCCTTAAACTGAGATGTACTTCACAGAGGAGAACACAGCGATAAACACATAAACAGTAGATTCAGTCAGATTGAAATAGAAGGTCCTATAGAACATAAGTCAAAGTGCTATTTCTCCACTGCCTCCAATCTATTCTTCTTAAAAGAGGTTTATGGAATAGTAATCTTGTGTTCCGCAGCTGTTTTTAATTTGACAGAAATGCAGACAATCAGTGGTGTAAAGTACTTCAGTAAAAATACTTTCAAGTAATACTTAAGTCGTTTTTGGGGGGATATCTGTACTTTACTATTGATATCTTTTACAACTTTTACTTTTACTTCAATACATTACTAAAGAAAATAATGTACTTTGTACTCAATACATTTTCCCTGACACCCAAAAGTACTCGTTACATTTTGAATTCTTAGCAGGACAGGAAAATGGTCCAAGTCACACACTTCTCCTGATCTTCCCTACTGCCTCTGATCTGGCAGACTAAACACACATGCTCCGTTTATAAATTATGCCTGAGTGTTGGTGAGCCCCTGGCTAACCGTAAAAAAAATAAAAAATAAATGATGCTGTCTGGTTTGCTTAATAGA